CGCTGCCCTCGGCCCCCGAGGAACGGCCCAGGGATCCTCCAGCAGCCTCCGCCGTCTTCTGCCGAGTTGAAGGCTGCGATGTTTGCTCACAGCCTCGTTCCCCCGAGGCCTCGCTTCGGCTCGGGGTGCTGTTTCTCCGACTGGAAATCTCCCTCCCGGTGCCTATGGATTTTTCCTAGCCCTTTTTACCATGTCTCGGCATGCATTAGTGCTGAGGTGTCTTGTTGCTGTTCTTTCCCACATGCTGCAGACCACCGGGGGTTAGTGTAAAATAAAATAGAACAGCTGTCTTTCCACTGGCACGAGATGTAGGTGATTTCTGTGTCACGGCTTTGAGGGAAGCCCCTCCTTGCTGAGTGTTTTCTGGGACTCCTTTGGCCAGGGCAGGTGTGTCCCTGGCTCGGGCTGGGAAGGGGCGAGCTGACCGTGCTGGGGGTATGCAGCCAACCTGTGTGCCTGATGCTTGTTTCTGTCTGTCCTTCCCTGTCCATCCTTTACTTCTGCCCCACCTGCCTGAGTCCCACTAGCTGGAGGCCCCTCAGCTATTCCCCTCCTTGCATTACTTGCTCTCTCAATTCACTGCCTCCCATATTTTTTTAATGGCTTGACTTTTGTGCTTTGACGGGAAGTGGAATCTGCTGCTCTTTCTGGCTGGTTTCCACTGCTTTTCACCTTCTCCTTGCTTTCTGGTGGCAGTATTTGGGGACCCCATTGCTACTACTGGATCTGTGTGCACCTGAGAGCCAGGAAAGTACTGCTGCTCTAGCACTGGCTCTTTGCCTCGTTTCCCACTGCCAAACCTCATTAGGAATTAAAACCAAGTGAACACTTTACGCAGTTGGCAGCTGCTGCGGTACATACAGGCATATTTTGTGATTGGGAAAAAAAAAGCAAGCAAGATGAATGCTATAATGGTAAATGGGAGAAGTGCTGGCTGAACTTCCCCTTTAGAGAGTGATCCCCACTATAAAAAGTGGCTGGCTATTGAAGTAGTCACCTTCTGCTGATACTCTTACACTACCTCTTGTTTTAGGAGTCACTTCTGGTACCTGTGTGGGGTGCTGCTTCTACAATTCTTCCTTTTAGCCAGTTGCTGGAAATCTTCCTGTTTCTCTGTTTTACTTCTCTTCTGTGGTATGAAAAACTTCTGCTGATGTCTTCTGATGCCTGTAACTTTTCTTCCTCTTCTTCTGTCTACACTTCATCTCCAGGACTTCTTCCTGTTGGTGTTTCCCTTTCTCTTCATTTACTCTGCTCTGAAGTTTCCTCCTGGATGTTTTGCTTCAGTATGCTGTGCTTTGTGCTGGCTGGCCAAGTGATTTGGCAATGCTGCTCACCAGATACTATTCTTGTATTAAAAATGTAATTCTTAAATTATGCATCTGTTTAATGGTAAGTCAGTCATTTAACATGTTGGTGCTGACTTGAAAGTACACTTGTATAAACTCCCCTTGTTAATATAAAAATCACTGGGCTTCCTGCAGGTGATGTGTGGTTGTGATCAAGAACTCTTTCAATAAGTGGTTTTTGTTAGTCAGAAAGATTAGCCATCTCTAATGACTCTCTGTAAAACTGTCAGCTGAATTTCATGGAGGATCTAGCCCATTCTAGATTGTTTTGGATATATTTATAAATGTGTACAAAAGCTTAACAAGAGCGTATCTGAATTGCATTCAAATATCTCTATGCAGGTAGAGCATTATACAAGTTTAATTGCAGTTATGGTCTCTGCATGTTTCTGTCACAAATAGAAAATGCATGTGTGCACTGCAAAGAGGTGCTCAGCCTTGTCACCTCATCAGTGTTGTGTGCAGGAGACATGCCCTGTTCTCCTTCTGTCGTCCCTTTTGAACCTGCTGTCTTTCCACAGATGTGGATGAGTGTGCCCTGGGTCTTGATGACTGCCACCCAGATGCTATTTGTCAAAACACCCCGAAGCTGTACAAGTGCATGTGCAAAGTGGGTTACACTGGTGAAGGGAAGAAATGTGAAGGTAAAGTCAGCATGGGGTATTTCTAAGAAGATAGAGCCATTAAAAATAATTATTTAGAATATGGAGGATGCTTTTAAATCAAAATAGTCATTGTTTCTTCACCTGATTTACTACTTGTTTCCAAAATCAAAGGCAAACAGATTGCATGGATTTTCACCCAGTCATATCGCTGAGCCTGGCAATTAGTTTGTTGTTTAACCAGCAGCCTTAAAAACTATAAGGTAAAGCTGCAAGGGAGTCTTGGGGCATTTTGTCAGTCTTTAGAAATATTCAGCAAGTAACATGTTAAATATAGTCTATTTGCAAGATAATGATGATTTTGGACAGCAGTTGCTGCTCACAGTTATGCAATCCCATCTCTAGCTGTCTATAGACATTCAAGCAAGCATCCGTCGTATTGACTTTTTCTTTATTCCTTAGACATTGATGAATGTGATAATGACTTCAATGGAGGCTGTGTCCACGAGTGTTTCAACATTCTAGGAAATTACCGCTGTATGTGCTACGATGGCTTTATGTTGGCTCATGATGGCCACAACTGCCTGGGTAAGAAGTGTGTTCATGAACAGTGTGAGTGGTGATGCTAACATAACCCTTTAGCTGCATGCATGGGAAACATGCATATCTAGATGCTGGGCTCAATTAATTCACCTAAAGAAGATTGTTACATGTGGGGACTAAGGATTTCCAGGTGCTGATGTACCATCCCAGTGTACCTCTTTCCAGTGCTGTAATTGACAAAAACTATGATACTTCTCTGTTAAGTGCTTTGGGTTTTAGTAATCTATTGTTATGCTAACTGATTTTATGTAAAAGAACATGTGCTATCATTGTCCTCTCTGTTCCAAAGTTAGTTTAGGATCAGTTGTCAAGGTGTGTTTCCAGGCTTAGGAATTTTCTCTCTCACGAACATCTATAATGTGGGGGCTTCTCTGGGGGCTTCTCGCTCTTACCATGACTTGAGTACTTCCTGAAAGGACAGGATGATTTGGAGCATGCAGTAGCTGTGTATGACAGAGGCCATTGAAGTACAGAGGGACAAAGCCCAAATGCTTGGAGTTTCCGTGGGTGGTTAGTGTGAAGCGAAATACACAACTCTGGAAGTGTTTTCAATCCTGGCAACACTCTCTTGACTCTGCATGCACACACTCTCTCTGATCATCTTTTCTTTATTTACAACCTTGATAGTTTCCTTTGTGTACCAAGAGATGAAAATCTTTAAAAATGGGTGATGAGACCTTGTGGCTTTGCTCTAATAATGTCCTCCATCACATGGTGCAGGAGTGTACAGAAAGGTGTGAGTTGCCAGTTTGTTGGCAGAGTGGTGTGCTGCCGGTGTTCCTTCCCTGGGACAGGGCCCCATGTTGATGAAGCTGCCCTGCTTCCAGAACCCACGCTGGGTACCCTATATGACTCGTCCCTGTGCTACCTGTCCCATTTACTTTTTCAGAGATGGCTCAGTTTTTCTTTACTGCTGAACTCAGTATGGATGTGCCCAGGCATGCTTCCGTGCCCATGTCAGTCAGAGGGAAATTTGCTCTCACAGCATAATGTTAATATTGTAGTTAGCTTGGGTAGAGTATTTCCCTCTAGTGTATTGCATATTAGGTGAGGGATCAGACCACCCCTGGGCTGTATCTTCTGCTGGGACAGATCTGCAAAGCTCTAGAGTATTCAGTGGGATAGTGTTGGGTTTTACCTGCTGGGAACTGGTTGTGCTGGGAACTTGTTACAGTGTAAACAGAGGAAAGGATGAAGTCACTATATTCCAAATATTTAAATAAATAGTGGGGAAAGCAAAATACCTGTTGATAATTTAAAATAATAGGAAGCCCATCTTATTTTTGCATTTGCACACAGTGCAGTTCAGTTGAGGTTACCATGAAGGACTGGATGTGGAGGAATACATTGCCTCTTACAGTGCCAGCAAAAGGTATATGTATATTCTCCTTGGACCCAGTAGCCCCTCTAAAGCACACTTCAGCTGACTTGTTTGTGATATTTGAGACCTAGACATAACTTAGACCAAAATCTACCACCTGCTATGTTACTGGGAAGCTGCTTAGCATTGCATGGCAGACTTATAAAATGTCACTGACATATAATGAAGTTTTTACCACTGATGTGCCAATTTTGAGATGTGATGTAAAAGTTAAATATTTTGGCATGCAGCAAATTGGATGTCATCTTCTCTTAATCTTTGTATTTACTTAGTTCACACCAGGGTTGCCCTCCTCTCACCCTTAGTTTTGAAGATCTCAGCTGTGTGCCTGGGTTTAAGCCAAATAGACAATTACTTGTTGGAAAGAGAGGATTTTTTGAAAGCTTTCCAAGGTCTGTGAGACCGAAACATCTGCTGGAGTTCAAATATGTGGCACTAAAGACTCGTGGTGGCTGTTTATTCGTGATTGTTTGCACATTCACATCACCATAGAACTCTAAAATACTCAGCTTCTTTGTGATGGAGATATGTCAGCAGCTCTTTTTCTACAGCAGGTCACATTCTTTTGCATCCAGTTGGCTTACTCATTGCCTGCAGTAGACATTAGATCTGTTGTAATAGTATGTTATGCTTCTTACTAAAAGCCTCTTTCC